GTTTGCTGCTGAGTCAAATAAAGGAACAGGCAGCATGGGAGGTGGTTGTTTTGAGATCTATGTCTTTCTAAATGAATCAATATTGCAAAGGAGCTGAAAAAATGTGCAAACAGATGCAAATAAAATAGCATGAAGTGTTTACAGCAATACTTGAGTGTTAGTTTAGACCTCAGTGTGCACCAACACAAATTAGGTCAAAGATAATCAATTCAGATAAAGGTTGGTAAATATGAGACTAATCACTGAAGATTTGCCTAATCCAGGAGGTGATTGACTTTGCATAGTGAGTTCTGATGAAATAATTACATGGAAATGATATTTTTCTTTTTACAAATAAATTCCCATTAAAAATGAGAACTTGTAAACAGAACTTAAAATTGCAAAGAAAAGGTAAATCCATTATTTAATCCTGTAGAATTTACTTTATGAACAGTGGTCTGAGACAGGTTATAGTGAGTGTGTTTCATCTATTCAGTCTATCTGATAACACTTCCTGAAGAGAGTCGATATTATTTTCTTCGCTGGTGGCAAGAAGTTTTCATATAGCAACAGGAGAGATATAAACACCTAACAAAATAGGAAAATCTTATTGTAAAGCCAGAGAATTGAATAGGAAAGATTGCCTGAGGGGGAAAGAGGAAGAAAAAAGGAAGCAATTTAGTTTAATTCATTTTTAAAAAACAACAGATTTCATGCTGGTACCATCCCAATAGTTCACTGAATGAGAAATCTGTTTCTAGCTCTTTTTAGGCTTATGTTTAATTTCTAAATAGGGAATTTTCACTTTAGAAACACAGGAGTTTGATCTGCTGGTTTTGTGGTGGCTGATTCTTGGTGGTGTGTGTTCAGCGTGTGTCAAAAATCTTGACCTCAAGCTTTGTAACGTGGAGATGTATTAAGATGAGATTCTTGGCTCAGATGAAAAAATTCATTTTTCTAAGACCTGCCTGATGAGAAAGCTGACTTCTCACGTGAGAGACCTCCAACTCTGCACCAGGTATTTGTATCACACACAATGACCTGTGCAAAACAGGGAGAGGTCACATAGGAGGTATCAGGGTATGAGGTCACACATTACCTTGGTACTGAGAATTTCTCTGGGCAGCATCCTAAGTGGGACACATTCCCAGGCTGGGTATGCAATTAAGCCAATCTTCTCTAAGTCTGTGCTATGTGGGATAGCTATGACTGTGATAAGAAACAGCTGTTTGTTGTTGGAGAAAGTAACCTAAAGTCTAAGCTGCTTTTGAATAAAGCACAGCAAAATAGAGGCCTGTATCTTCCCTAAACCAGACGTGTGGGGAGGGGTGAGGAACTGTCATGGTCATTACTCTGTCTCTTTACTTGGCTGCTGGAGAGATTTGGCAGGTACATGTAGAAATGGAAAGATGCACAGCAATTTACTATACACCAACTCCTGAGCCAGGAGGAAGCAGAGAGCACAGCTGGATGCAGTACCTCTTGGCTAGTGCCCCTGTGCTGAAGCTCAGGGAAAACCAATCTCTGCAGCAGAGCTGCCTGCCTGCCACTCTGCACCAAATCAGAGGCAGGTTGGACAGCAGGAGTGACTGACTGTTCACAAACAAATGTGCTACATCCCTGGGTTTTCTGCAGGCAGCACTTACTCCAGTGCTGAAACAGTGTCACGAAAAATCAGCTAATTTGTCTCATATGCAGAGATTTTTTTGTGTGTAGAGGAAAAGAATGAGAAACCAGAAGAACAGAATATCAGGAGAAGCTTCTGGTTTTAGACCCACTGGGATATTGAGGGCACCCTCCCAGCTGGTTAGGTCAATAGGAGAATCACTGATATGAAATACACAGTGGTACTCCTCTGAAATGCCACTCTGTTATTTCACTTACAGCAAGACAAATTAGGTTGCTTAGTTTCAGATTGACATATAGTGTGGTCTGGGAGAAATTGCTTTCACACCTCACCTAAAGTCACCAGCCAAATGTGTGAAAAATCCTGTTGTCAGAGCATCTGGCAACAAGGAATATGGTACTGATACCCAAACTAGAGTTTATTTAAAATTGGAAATAACAGTAGGAAGTCTGGAAAACATTCCTGCACAATTCAATTATAGCACTTTGTTAAGTCAGTCATAATTCTCTGCAGACCTAATTATATGGGCAGCTTTTCTTTAAATCCCACTCAAAAACCACTTAATCCTTCTTTATACCCAACAGAAATGGCTGGACAATATACCACAGGCTATTTTGCTAATGGACTGTACTGGTTTTGAGAGTTTGTGGCTCAGTTCAGGCACTGGGGATGCTGAGAACAGGTGTCTGAAATGGTCCCACCAGTCGTGATGAAGCCCTTCCAGTGTGCTGTAATTGCTCTGGAAAATTTCTGTGTGTGAGCAAATCCTGTTTGCACTCTGTCAGTATATCTGAGGCACCAGGAAAGACACTCTGTGTTGCTAGACTTGTGTGTCTAATGTGATAGGAACTGTGCTGAGCTGATACTAGGCTGGCTCCTGAGCAGTCACTTGCAGAGCAGCTTGCACCTGGAGGCACGAGCTGTTGTGACCTTATCCCAGCCACCAAAAGAACAAAGAAGTTAAACCTGCCAAATTTAGAATCTGGATATTTGAAAACTGTCTCAACTGAGAGATGCAGTTGATATTAAAACAGAGGATTCGGTTTCAGCTGAGGAAAATCATGTGTGAATCCATGAATAATGTCTCTAGGGTTACTTAATTCAGTAGGGCTTGAGTTGAAAAAGGATTTTATAAAAAGACATTAATTCCAACTCCCTGTGCTGTTTTCATGGTTCTGTTTTCCTCATTTTCATGCATTTGCCTTCTAACTGGCTGAAGAGATGTGTGCAGCCTTGTTATCACTGACTGCAATGGAAATTGGCTGAGGCATGCAAATTGCCTAGACACAGCCTTGGAATCAACTTCAAAGTAGTAAGGCTGAGCCCTAGAATTGGAGTGGCAAAGCCCCTAAGGGTTTTCAAGACCCAACCTGTAAGTGTCATCAGGATAACTTGTGTTAGTGGACATGCTTCTGCATACCCTGAATTTGTTTACATCATGAGCACTTCCTGCAAATTTCAGTCACATTTAAAAAAATCTGTATTTTTGACAATATTATGGAATAATCAAATCAGGCCTGGGGCTTTTCTTTCATTGTTTATGGGAAGTATTTTCGTAGGATGTTATTTTTATCTTATTTTTTCAAAGAAACATTTAGTTCAATATTAAGTACTGACTTCTTGGTCACTAATTGCTGTGAGTGCTGAAATTCTGTTTCCTGATTTGTCAATATGGTTTGTACTAGCTTTAAAATTGCTCCCAGAGAGGGTACTACTGAAGAAAAGTCCTCCCTCTCCCCCTAAAATTTACTGGTTTGGGGACTATCCAGGATGTTGTGAGTCACAAATCAAAAACATAAAAATAGGGAAAGCGAACAGAACTCTCAGTAGTAGAAAACACCTACGTGTAAATCATACTGATACTGCTACAAAACAGCACCAAATCATACACAGATTTAGAGCTAGAAATGATTCTAGTTACAGATAATTAGGCAGTAATTTGTCCCACTGTGCTGAGTGCACACGCAAACACCCTTAGATCCAGATGGAAGAATACAAAAGCAGAGATGATGCACTATCTGGAAGTGATAGTTTAATTTGTTAGGATGGATCCTTACGATTTCCTACATGGAGAAGGAGTCTGGAATCTGTGTGTAGGAGCTGTCTGAATACAGAGGACACTGGACCTCAAAAAGCTAAGTCCTACCTTAACGAGTAAAGCCCCAGATAATGGTCAAATTAATATTTTCTTCTTTCTGACTCAACCCTCCTGCAACCAGAGACAGTCAGACAATACCTGAGCTTGTTCACAGCATCTGTCTGGTTTTTTCACCACCAAGTGAGGCCAGACCCTTTATGGAGCCATATGCTCTGATCTTAGCTTAAAACAGCTTTGGTTCCTTTCCTCCCACATCCTACTGGAAAGATTGCTTCAAAAAGTTATTGCTTTGGCTTGTTACTAGTTTCCAGTCTAAGCTTATTCTCTACCTCTGCTTAATTTTACACCAGAATTATCGTTTAACATAAACAATCCTTTCTCCTGTTCTTGATTCTTTCCCTTTAGCTAACCAAAATCTCCATTGCCAGAAGTAGATGAGTGCCACAATTCTGACAGTATCAAAAGTCAGGATCATGCTGAAATCTGAAAGCTTAAGTGCAAGGTAGAACAAATGGAATTTATAATCCAAGCACAGAATAGCAGGGTAGATTTTAAGATACATTAAGTCTGACTATCACATTAAGACCTATGCATCACACTACATTTCTACAAGAGCTCCAGACTGGTGCTGATTCACAGGGTCTTCACTGTCAGAGCAGGATAAACAGCTATTGCCAGATGAGCTGTTTTTTCAGGAGATCATTACAACCAAAATGAAGTCTTCTCTGCACAGAGCAGTTTCTTAAGACTAGAGAGGTCTTTTTTTTTTCCCTGGGGGAAGTGTAAGATTAAAGGGTTGCATAATTACCCACTTAGGAAACTGGCACTGTTATAAACTGACAAAAGACAAAGCCAAGAATAATTAATGCTTATAAATTTCACAGGATAACAAACAAGACAATTTAATTGATGCTCTTTTTTGGTTTTTTTTTTTGAGAGGCAAGATCTTTATAGATCTCATCATTATGGACTTGTGCTGGTATATATGTCTTTAAATAGGGAACGAGGGCAGAAAATGGTCCCTCAATTAAAAAGCTGGAATCATCATTTAACTGTAAAACTTCTCATTAGCAGAGTACCGAAGACCATCCTTAATTAGCAATCACTTTTACCCCTGAATGTCTATTTCTACTTGGGAATATGTAGTTGAATGAGAAAACTCAAAGCGAAATCTGCAACTCTCAGGTTCAGTTTCTAAACCAGCTTTATTCACTGTGATGCAACTTGTTCTACAGAAGTGCAGCACAGAAGATGGAAAGCAACTGAGAATCTGATTTGGGCAGTTGGCAATTACAGGCACTTACATCAGATGTGGCAGGAGTCACTGTGTGCAGTACTCTGAGTATAACACCATAGAAACCAAAAGAGTTAGAGGAAGGAGTTAATACTCAGCACTGTGAATCTGGTGTTTATATTGCAAAAGAAATCTCAGTGAGACCACAGTATACAAAAGCCTGAAATGGAAAAGAATAGGCACTGCTGCCAACGGGGTTTTTTTTTTTTTTTTTTTAAAGGCAAGTAATAAAAACTAAAAGGTCAAATCTTGGAGATAAGAACAAGAATATACAGGATAAGCAACTAAAAGGATCTTTTTGTAACCAGAGGCTCTTAGATGTGGAGCAGACGGGCAGTGATTCTGGCAGTGCAGTGGGCAACCGCACACAGTGCAGTTCTCTCCTCACCTAATTTTAAAATGAGGTCATGTGGTGGAGTGTGAGACACTTCTGAAATGGAAACTCAAGTTTTAAGACGTCTAGGCTTAAATCTGTGAAACTTTAAAAAAAAAAAAGAAAAAAGTATTCATAAGCTGGACAAAATAAACCCCAATATTACAATTGTGCTAGTGCTTTCAGACCACAGCTGAGTGATGGACAGAGCCATCTCCAGTCACATCAGATGATTTAATAGACCTCAGGAGGGAATGATATGGCAAACAGAATGAGCTCTGGTGGGTTTTAGCATAGGGTTTTTTTGTTATCATGTGGTTGCTCAAAGACTCATTCAAATTCTGTTGAATTTTTCTTTTTTTTTTCTGGCATGCATTTTTCCCTCAGCATTGACCAAAAACATCATATCACAGCCCAGCTCCACAAAATTCATCAGGTTGTTAGCAGCTTTAGAGAGTATCAACACATTTCCAAAACACCAAATCTGAACTACCAAGGCATTTTCAAACTTATTCTTCTCCTTCCAAGGCAGAAATAGCTGCATACACTGTATGGTGTAGGGCCTACTACTAAGATTTCTGCATTAAAAAAAAGCCCAAGTTTTGTTTTGTTGATAATTTTGAAGTTATTTGCATGAATGCTGATCAGGCTATTCAAAGATAGCAGAAAATACATGTAAGTTATAACAGATTTATGTTCTGGATAAAACTGCACATACTCGTTACAAGTCATGGTGGCCTGTTATGAGACAAATTAATACAGGAAATTTGAAGCAAAATCTTCCAAAATTGGTATAATTGCCACATAATAAATACATCTTTTTAGGTTGCTTGTGCCTTTTCTAGTCTTTACTAATGCTGTTAATACATCCTACAATCAGATTTTCATTTTGATTACAAAAGAAATTGGTCTGTTTCCATAAGCAATCTGTGCAAAGCAGATATATCACCCTGAGCGATGGGAGAAAGTATTTTTTATTCTCTCCAGTTGCATAATAACAATATTTTCACTGCAGCTGTTGCTGCAACAGTGATTTTCCCAGGGATTCCAACCACTACTATGAAAGCAAGATTTCCTCTTCACCCACAAATGGCAAGTGTGTGATAATTCATTTTGATCATCTCAGAGAGATGTTGTGCTCCTCTACAGGTTGTACCAGAGTGTGTCTCTACAGACATGAAACTCTGTTCTCTGGAGGAGGTGCTGGATGGACTGTGGATGTGCTGGGACTGCTCTAGCCTAGCAGTTTATCTCAGAGCACAGCACAGTGTGGAGCTGAGGTGACCAGTACTCTGTATTTCAGGTCTACTAGAAGCATAGATGCACCACAATTCCCCATGAATCTGAAAAATCCCTCGTCTTCTCTTTCTCCTTCCCTAAATGACAGTCCAGAAGCAGAGATATTTGATGACCACAACATTCCCAAAGATCCTGGCATGTAATCAGCTTTTGGTATTTATCTCTGGATCCCTCTTGCCAGAGAGGTTCCCTAGAGCTGCCAGATTTAACAGCTGCCTGTTGCCAAGCCAAGCTCTAAAGGGACTCAACCAGCCCAGAGGTTTACTCTGAGACACGGAGCATGTGAAAAAAACCAGCTTTGGGATTTCTAGGTGCCCTGCTGTCTGGCAAAAATACTGGAAGCTTTGATGCCTAGTTTAAATCAATATTTTAGGGCTCCAAGATTACCTCCTGTGCACTTTGGAGCTGCACTGCAGTTAGAACTTCTGGGTTTTTTGGAAAATTTAGCACCTACAGAAGGCTGCTCTGGACCCTCGTGCACTGGTAGGAAACAAGGGGTTTTGCACAGAGGGATTCCTTTTGACTTCATTGTAAATGCCCTGAATCCAATATGTTATCCCCCCAAATACACTGAATGCCACTTCTCTGGCATTTTCCAGCAGACACAGTGTTGTCACAAAGATTCTGGCCACTATTACTCGCAGGGACAAAGCACATCTGGCACCTAAGAAGGATATGTGCCCAGTTAGTGTCAGCTCAAAGTGCATTTCATGGATCTATGTGCCAGAGATTCCAACATAAATGTACTGCTCAAGTCATGGAGAAGTATTAACAGGTATTCAAAAGCTGTCACAGGTGCAATAATAATACTAAAAATATTTCAGCTTCCTGCTAGAAGCACAATTCAGCTGTGGTGTCTCCAGTATTCAGTGCCACTGATGGCAGTGGAAGCAAAGTGATTCTGAGAACTTTTGCACATCTAAGGGGAGTAGCACATTACTTTCTTGCTTCTCCAGTAACCACCTGCACACTACTATTGTTTTTAGAGATTACTTTTTCCACAGTGTTAAAACTCATCAGGTGTGTGTGCTCTAGTTGCCTGTTAGCTGGTTACTGAGGCCTGATGCAATCAGCAGCAAGATTCCAACCTTGACTAAATTGGCTGCCATCACCAGTCTGGTTTTGGTGCAAGAGATGAAACAGGAGAGCAAATTGACAAGCAGAGGGACGAGGTTTCCTTGAGGGAAAAGAGGAGGATACAGCATTTTATAAAAGAGCCCCAAAAATGGACTGTGTTCTGCAGCAGGATGAGAACTGATTCCTGAGATTGCCTCTGCCTCAAAGGTACTACCCTTTTCCATTTTCCACACTCTACCTATTCTAAATCACACAATGTTGCCTGGATCTAAGGGAACCCAGGGACAAAATACATTGCAGCTGTTTGTATTGTGTTTAGCTATTGGCTGTATTTATATGGTAATTCCAGCATAAAGCATTGAATAAATACCGTTCCACACTCATGCCAAATTTAGTAATTGTTAGGATTCACAGTCACAGAATGCTGCAGCAGGCTGGATTAGGAATGAGCAATTAGATGTAGTTTCTTTTCTACACAGGTCAGTTATTGGCCACTGCATCCTGCTCCAGATGGGTTAAATCAAACAGAAAACACCTGAACTCTGAATACATTTGAGGCAACAGGAAAAGGTACAGGAAAAGGCCTATGGCTGCAAGAGTGGCAATTCATGCCTGCAGATGACATGTTAGTGGCAAATTACAGGGATCATCTGATTCTTTTTACGTCAAAATTTATTTTTTTTAATCTGGAATATTTTGTACTACAACAAATTCCTTTTTCTGCATTATGCAACTATTTCAATTTCTAGCAAGTGTGCTGATTTTCAGTTGAACCATCTGGTTCTCTCTTCATCCATCTCTGACCTCTCCCTCCTGCTTATTTCTGCTTTGTTTTACCTCTTGAAAGGTCTTGAAAGCCTTGATTTTGATATGTGAAACAGCATGCAGAGTTTTCTTGCTCTATTAGCATTTATTATACTTCAGTGAAAAGGATTATTTTGAGCATTTCATTGAATTCTTGAGGAAGCCCCAAAAGTGCTGACACAGATTTGGAACAAAACTTACCCACTAACAGTATTTTAACAAGGATTATCTTATTATTGGACAATTTAAGGGAGTGGAAATAGGCCTCAAATTGCCCAGTTTAAATCCAGTGCAGAACAATGACTTGAAATAATTTTCAGCTGAAGCACCATAATTGGGTGGGCTGGACAGCCAGGTGTGTCTGCATTAGAGAAGCCATGCAGTGATCTGTGCTGCAGTCCCTAAAAGAGCTCTCAGCAGTCATGGATTGAACAAACACAGCGTCTCATTTAAGGTGATTCATCCATGTCAAAGATGGAAAAAAAATGTCAGAGTAGCTGGGCTATTCCCTTTACCTGTGCTGGAGCTCTTCTGTTGCTGAATGACTGAGATGACTCTTCAAGCCTGAGTGACTGAAAGTTTCCAACAGCAACAGATTCACAAGCAAGAAAAGGATAAACACTGTCCCATGAAGACACCCTGATCCAGCAGACTCTGTGCTGCCTCTGCCACAGACTTGCCATGTATTCACAAGCAGCTCATCACTCAGCTTTTCCTGCCTCTAGACTGTAGGTTGCTTGCACACTGCTTGAGGTTCATGGACTAGAGGTTCAGTGTGTGGCTATCAGCAGAGTAACAGTGACATAGTTTTGAGGTCCTACAGAGTAAGTTTGGGACCCTTTGTGTTATTGATACACCTCACCTTCTCTACACCTGTCTTTTGCAGAGATGATGATATCAAAACAGAGCACAACCACAGGATCACAGAATGGGTCAGGTTGGAAAGGACCACAATGGGTCTCCTGCTCAAGCAGGGCCATCCTAGAGCACGTGGCTCAGGAATTGTGTCCAGGCAGTTCTGGAATATCTCCAGTGAGGGAGAATCCATGACCTCTCTGGGCAGTCTGTTCCAGTGCTTGGTCACTCCATTGTGCACTGGAAGCCCCAAATTACAATTAAGCAGCTAATGGTCATAGGGCACAATGACCTTCTCAGTGAACAGTGATCAGTGCTCACATTGAGGGACAGCAGCAGGATTATTGCTGATAATTTCTTCTGCTTTACAGCATCCCTTACCAATTGATCTGCAACTATTGACACCAGGTGCAATGCATTCCCATTTCTCATTGGATCACTTCAGGCTTCTTTTAAAATTTTCTTTGCACTTATTGACTCAATAGACATTTTATTTTTTGTTGCTTTTCAACACAGCTGGCTGCTGTTCTGTGTCTGGCTGGCACACTGAGGGTGAAATGTGATCATTAAGTTCATACCCAGTTTAACTATATCAGTCTGAAGCAAACTGAAGTGTAAATAACTCCAGTTTACCTCTTCAGTCCCTCTCATTACATGTAACAACTTGATAATTTTATTTCTATTTAGTAATTATTCTCATTCTAATATATCTTTGTTCTTACAGTAATAATATTTTACTTGTTTCTTTGTCACTGGAAATTGTCCTGGACATTGCAGAGCTGACAAAGTAGGTTCATCCTGTCACTGACTGACTGATCTCAGTGTTGTCTCCACTTTTGCTTCATGAATTGTCTCATTCCCAGAAAAAGAGCTTAATAATGATATATGCTAAAAAATAGTTGACTACTGCATT